CTCCCCCCGGCGCCGGGAGGGCTGCTGCCCGCCGCCTCGCCTCGCCCGGGCTGCCCGGCGTGTGGGGGGAGCGCGGCCTCCCCTCTCCGGGCCCTGTGTAGCTGCTGATACAAAAGGGCAGTGTCAGTGTTGACACTGCCGTACCGATTTGTATGCCCTTCCCCGTCTTCTCCCTCCCCCACTCCGGTTGGCCCCCTTTTCCCTCATGGCTTGCTCTTTCTTCTTTTCTTTTTTTTTTTTTTTTTTTTTTCTTTTTCTGAAGGTGCTATCGAATATCTTACAGGAAAAAATAGCAACTCCTCTTTCCTTCCCCCGTGCCCAGCTCGATAAAAATGCTAAATAATCGGCCGACGTCCATATTTCACAAGCTTTTGGAGGGGGGGGAGGAAGAAGGTGGGAAGAGAATGGAGGCGCCTGTAGGGTCGGAGTTACAGTGCTGGCTGCCCACAAGAGGGGTTATTTTCGCAGTTAATGTTTTAGAGCTGATGTTTTTGTTGCTTTCAGTCAAGAAGCAAGTTGCCTGGTCCTCGCGTTTGCTTGCATAATGCGTCGTACTTGGAGGCTGATCAAACGCTGGGTTCTGCCTTTCCTGCCTGGCTCTTCCTCCTTCCCCTTCCCCGGGGGGCTGGGGAGTGGGAGAAGTTTTGAGGTGCTGGTAGCACTGACGCCAACGGCCTCCTGGTTACTGCTCTGGTTATCTGGGGCTGGGAAACAAACCGATACCGGGGCTTTCGCCAGACCTGTAGGCCCGTCTTCCTGCTGTTCAACGGCTTTCTCGACAGCCAGGGGTTTTCACAGAACGGGAGTCCGAAAGTCTAGACTGTGAACCGGAAAATAATAGGGGAAAGAATGGAAAGTTATGTCAAGGGCTTTGGGGGAAAAACATCGACGTATCGAACAAAGGTCCTGCCTGTATTGGAGAGAGAGGCCTGCATGTGAGGCCTGATTGTGTCGCATTTACACACGGGGAAGAAATGAGTGCTTGGTACTGGCCTAAATTTATTCTGTAAGTCTGGCATGCAACTTGGGAACATTTTTAGAGTGTGTGCAGTTTGTTTTGAGGGTGGTTTTACTCTGTGTAGCAATCCAATAATAATTTTAATTTGAAATATTTTTTCCAAAAGATTGTCTAGTGGTTTTTTTTTCTTTCTGCCTTGTTCAGCAGAAATAATATTGATCTGGAGGTTCTAACACCGTAACACAAAACTTTACTCAAACAAGATAACTTCCACAGTTTATGTATTGTATGTGTTACTAATATTGAGCTTCCTGGTGCTTTAAAGACTGTCAGAAAGAGGAGTTGAGTAGTTACCACCTGACAAATATGAAGTACATCCTTCATAGTGAGAAAGAAGAGGAATTCTAATGACTTAAAATTTAAATTAATTTTACAAACTTTTCTTAGGGGAACTGTCACTGTGGATATACTTTCTTTGTAAGACTTTAAAAGTTAGCAAGCATTGCTGTGATTACTTCTGTTTATCTCTGGTATATTCTCTCTCCAGTTCTTCTCTCTCTCTCTCTCTCCCCCCCCTCCCACCCCCAAGCC